AGTAGCTAGGCGACTCGGCCAGGCTGAAAGCATAAAGGTATCCGTGGATGTTTATGTTTCCAGAGTGGATTTTCTACTCTCAGGTGTACTACATCCGAGTTGTCTAAAAATTGAAAAAAAAAATTATTAAACAACATCCAAAAAATCTGAAACTTTGCGACATCAAACTCTATCAAATATTTGAAGTTCTTATAAAATCTCATCTGAAAATAACATCCGAGGAGCTCCCACAAAAGAAAATCACTGCTCAAATAGTGCACAAAACTTTGAGCACCGATATTTTTTTTCTATGAGAGCTCAAGGATGCTATTTTTTGGATGAAATTTTCAAGAACCTCGAGATTTTGGTAGAGTTTTTATTGTTGCAAAATTTCAGCTTTTTTTGAATGTTGTTAGATAACATTTTTTTTCAATTTTTGGACAAACTCGGGTGCAGTACACCCGAGAATAGCCACTATTTTCCGTTATGTTTAGTTATATTTTCTTGGGTCTTTGTGTATGTTGGTGGAGTCAGTTGTATTCTCTTTGTATAGGTCAGTGTTTATACTCATCTTTGTAACACCGTAGCATAGATGTCCCCGGAGAAAAGGCATAGATGTGTACGCTAGGACGAATTTCCTCCCAAAATATTGATTGCTCGATAATGTAACGTACTGCATGCTGCTGCTCCGGTTCCGAATCCTAATTTGAACAGGTTCGGTGGGGCCGGAGTAAACGGACGGCTAGTCGGAATCGGCAACTCCCCGGTCAATATAAGCAGAGGCGTCGATGCACAAAGGGGCAAAGCAAGCTGAGGACTATTGTTCACGACCACGAAGCTAGTACGTGCAGTGCAACTCTGCCGATGGATCCATCAAGCATGGACAAAGACACGGAGGAGCAGCGATCACAACGACGCCCCTTGTTTTCGCGGCTCAAGTGCGGCGAGGAGGAGATGCTAGCACCTAGGACCACCGTCGAGCGCCTCTTCGTCACCGACGTCTTCCTCGTCCACCCGGAGAGAGAAGCCGGCGGCCAGAGCGTCGTGGCCGCCTGCGTCGAGATCGGCGCGCGCAACCTCATGCTTGGAAGGCTGTCGGCGGAGAACCCCTGCGTGAAGCTGCAGACGCCGGTGGAGCTGGACATGGAGTTTTGCTTTTACGTGGTGCGCCTAGACGACGTCTACGCCGCCGATGATGACGGAAACACCGACGCTGAGGCCGATGCAGCTGTCGTCGAGTTCCAGGGTTTCGCTCTCGCTCTGCCGTCTCTGGACACGGAGGAGGAGGAGGACGTCGAGTTCCGGGGTTTATCTCTCGCTCCGCAGTCTCTGGACGTGAAGGAGGAGGACGCTGATGACGATCATGAGGAGGAGAAGAAGGAGATTGACGAGGTTGGCGGAGAAGTGGGTCACGTGACCAGGGCGAGCAGTGCCGGCGGCAACAACAGGAACGTTGGACAGGACGTAGGTAGAACATTCTTAGGAATTCTTTTGTTTGTCTCTATATTAGCGTTCCTCGGATTGATAATGTAATCGAGAATTCATCCATGGATGAACTATGTCTTTTTTGGCCCGGTTTCCTTCCCAAACGGATTCAACTTGTTTAGCTTTTCAATCCGGTTTTCTTGGTAAACTGGATCAATATTTTTCTTGAAGAGATCAAATTCTGGTGGGGATTTCTCCCCTGGGCGACTGTTAAAAAAACTATGTCTTTTTGCCATCATTTAAACCGTCCATGAAATCGCCGTGGTCGCGCCACTGTTGTTGCTGGAGAGTCTCGGTGCTAAGAGCAACTCCACTCGTTCGGCCCCTAGCGCATAGGCCGACGCTATTTCGGACGCTCGCCCGGCGATTTTTAGGCCCTGGAGGCGATCTAGGTCTCAGCCATGCCCCTAGGTGTCGCCTCCAAGGCGTCGTAAATTCAAACTTGTCCATTCCCGCTACCCAAAAAACGTCACAAGTCTGACGATCAGCGCCACAAAGTCTCGGCGATTGGCGATCACCTCGCCACAGTTCGACGATTAATAAAAGTTCGGCATGCAAAAGAAAGGACGCGTAGGCAATGCATCAAACGGCGGCATCTGGCGTCGGACTGGCGGGAGTTGGCGTCGGCGCGGCTTCTGTGCTGGTCGTCGTGGAGGCATCATCGCTCGGACTTGGCGGCGGTGTTGGGGTCGGTGTGGGAGTTGGTGCCGCCGTCGACGGCATCTGGTTCAGCATGAGGCCACGCTCCGCCAGGTACCACGCCTTGACCTGCTCGTCCATCGCCGACATGTTCGG